AATACTATTGGGAAAGACAGATGTGTGTCCAAGAAACCCAGTAGCAGCACTCACCGACAGGGACAAAGATCTCTTAGTTTTACATCAATGATTCCCATACTGAAGCTATTATCAACAAATTGCTCCAGAATGAAGTATGCACGAGGGACGTCGATGTTAATTTCAGCAATGTCCATATAAACCCTTTTAAAGCCCTAAGGAAGAGAAAAAAAAAATAAATGTTTAACATCATCTGAGAAAACAAGCAGACAAGCTTGGTGAAAATAATCATGTGCAATATACAATTCAACCAGCAGGTGGCACCTCACCCTTCTCATTTGGTCCACAGTGATGATTGAGGACAGGGAGAAGATCTTGAATAGCTGCAGAACCATTTTGAATGTTTTCTCTCCTTTTGACTCCAACACCATCACTATTGCCTGAGGGATACAACCACAACAATCAAAGCCTTGTGTTAAGGCTCAGAACTTGCCCTATTTATCTTCTAGAAGAACTGACTGCAGTATAAAATATACAGCTGTTTTATCTGCATATTGTAATTATGCATTTACGCTCTTAAATGCATAATGGTTAAGGTTTAACCATTAAAAATAGCCAGATTTAACACTTGCTACTGATGCTGCAAACGATGATAGATTGGCTTGAAAGCCTGTTATTTCTCCTGTGCACACATTACTGTTCAGGTAGAGAGAGAGAACAAAAAACAACCCAGTCCTCCAGGGGAAGAGAGGTCTTTCTTCCCTCTGGCCTCCTTTTGTATATGTTGCCATGTTTAATGCTTCAGAGTTTTATTTTTGGCTCCTTTGTTACAGCAAGTGTTTACCTCATAAACAAACTCATGGTGGAAATGAGGAACCTCCAGATCTCTCAGGCATCTCTCAGCCTCCTTACTGTCTCCAGAGAGGATGTATTCCTTCAGCAGCAGGTTCATCTGACAGGACAGAACAGGCAGTGTTGGGGGAAGTGACTTTGAAAGCACACCTTTGCAAGCCACCAGTTGCTTCAAAGTGGAAGAAGTTGAACTACGGCAAAGGTGCTCTGGCGAGAAATGTAGTTTGGTTAACTAAAGGTACTTAGAAATAGCAGATCAAAGTACTTTATTTAAAAAAAGTAAAATAAAAATGCCATCTGTGCTTTTCACAAGGATACAACTGCAAGGAATGTGAGATTTTTATTGTAAACATCTAAATGTTGTATAACCTAAGAGTAAAGAAAGGATTTAACTTGCACCTTTTTAGACCATTTAACCAACTTGAGGACTGGTCTAAAACAGATCTGTTGTCTCACTTCTCAGTTTTGAAACATATGACTTGTACAATCTTAACTAGAACATTCTAGTCAGCGTCTTGTATTTGCGCAAGTATGGCCATGGTGATTCTTCCTCAGGAGGTTTATCCATGATAATGCTGATGCTGTGAGCACTGAGTAACCCCTACCCTACACAAAGGTCAGGTGTATGGTGGTGAATGCCTGATGAATGCACTGCATGGGCCTTCAGTGGTCAGGATGAAAGAAAAAGGATGGGGCCCGATCAAAGGGGCTTCAATTACAGTAGAGAAGCAATGATCCAAAAAAAAAAAACATTCCCTTTTATGGCCCAAAATTGTAAATTCTGTAGTTAACTACACACAAATGGCAAAAAAAAAAACTATGTAATTACTATTTAAGGTATGAATGCAACTGAAGTACCACCACACTACTGCAAAACATAGTTAAGTTGCATGCAGTTCACTACCCCTGGCAATTATTAACCTATAGTATTTTTTTCTTACATTCACAATGAACTTCAATAACACAGCCATATTTATAAGGATTTCTTAGACTTGGATGCACAACTATTCCCCAGTCACCAAACTTGACACCTCATCTACAATAAATTCACTTGAAGCTTTGTAACAGAAAATATAACTATTAAAAAAAAAGTTCAACTGAAGTTCATTTGAAAAAGATTACATAAAAAACAAACAATAAAAGATACTATCAGAAGATACTAGAGTACCAACAACCATACACATCCGATTTACTAGCAGACTCTTCTTAGGTCCAATCTACATAATTTACCTCTTTGATGAGCTGTACAACAGATCTCTGGCCCCCACCTGTTCCCCACTGGGTGTCAATGCGAAGGCCACCCATACTCATCTTCAGCAGCACCGCTGCCCTGTCTAGTGCTGCCCTGGAGGAGACAAAACATGAAGTGTTTGTGGGACAAAGCTGTCACATTGCTACACTAACATTCATCACCACAGTCATTGTTGTCCCCTCTCCTGTATCTGTAAAGATTCCAGTGTTGCACATATTTGTTACACCCGTCTTTTGGATGTTGTGGCACCGACACAGAACACCTATACCAACGATTTCTTTTCATAATCGATAAACCTTTGTTTTATTTTATTTTATTATTGCTGTACTTAATGAACAGGTCCTTTGGGTAGGAGCTGATTATTATGTGGTGTAAAATACCTGCAAGATCTTAATTCTGTTGTCTTTAATACATTTCCACTGTTATATACACATTTACACAGGCATCAAAGAAAAGTTCAGATTCTCCTGCTCTTCCATCCTGAAGTGACCACTCTTTAAAGGGAAATTAAAACAAACCATTTTCAGGTGTCCATACACACTGAAATAAGGTTTCAGAGGGACATCATTCCTCCTGTCGATACTGGCTATTTAAAGAGCCTTTCTAATGGGTTTGGGGTGGGGGGATCCACAGGCCTTATTCCATGCAAATATTATCTTATCCAAAATTAAGCTAAAAATGAGGCTTCAGCAGTGCGAGTTAGACAAATCAACTGGATATCTTAATACAAATTATCTCATTTTGGTACTATCCCTCTAGTGCAGCTCAACAGGGAAACACAAAAAAGAGAATTTCATACTAAAAAGACTGATTTGGAAAATACTAATGTGGTACACGAGAATTCTGAAGGGTTTTATTAGCTTCAGATAAACTTCAGAAGAGATCTTTTACAATGAATGAGGACAGTGGATATTGTTCATTATCACTCACACTTAAAGTATTAAAAAGGGATCTCTTAAATTTCAAGCCTGTCCTGAGACTTGAAAATATGCGCACAACTAATACCCTGATGCAATCTCAGAAGACTTTCACAATAAAACCATCATGCAGGAAGTGGAAATCACAAGCAGCAGAGCTTGGCCTACAATCACATACCTTGCGTATTCACAGTCAACTCTGCCTTTGTAGCCCTCGATGTAGCTCTTGGACAATATTTGGTCGCTAACAGCACGTGCAATGAATTGGCCCACCAACTGGAAGAGAAACACAATAGAGGGAACTTCAACAGCACCAAACTGGTTCCACAGCACCATGCCGTGTTGAGCACAACTTCAGCAGAATCTTGATTTGTCTGGGTTCTCCTTAAACCCAAGATCCTGTCTGGTAAATCAGAAAGGAGGTCTCATTGTGGAAACAAGTCGGTCAAAATGTCCTGGGCCTCATGCATTTCAAGGATGCACTGAGGAATAAATATCAGTGGATGTTTAGAATGACACTACATTAAGAGAGGTCAAGAATCATTTTAAACTGCTGTTCACCATCACTTAACCTGCACAAAAGAATTCCCTTGCAGCAGGAAACTATAAAGTTGTGAGAAATCAGTTTACACCGAGTACCATTTCTTAAAAAAAAAAGTCCAAGTGTATTAAGTGGAAAAACTAAATGTTCAATATCTGCTGCGAAACGGCAAACACTTGCAGCAATGCAGTCAAATATTACTACATCACAATAATGAAACTATCATTTTGACCAACTGGAGACCCCACAAAAACACCGACATTACAGATGCCTTGATAGTGACCTCGAGGGCGCATATGTGCGTTTGTTTACAGTAGTACAAGCACATGATTTAGGGAAATTGAATAGCTGGCTTTGTTGTTTTGGGCTCCAAAAAGCCTGCACCCAACACTGATCATTGTTCCTGCGCAGACAACAGGCAGCTCTGTCTCATCTGACTCGTGACTGTGGCTAGATTAGCAGGCATTTGGGGAACAAGAGAAAGAGAGTGAAAAGGGTGAAGGGAAGGAGGTGGGAGCAGAATTTACTAGTAAGACCAATGAAACAGTGAAGGGGGGAAATGCAAATGTGCATCCTGTGCTAAGTTTGCATTTTGCAAGCACAGATAGACCTCATGTCTTTGTAGGCTAAATAGGAAAGAGCTCAAATACACACACACACACACACACACACACACACAAAAAAAGAAGCCATGCTTTCAGTTGACAAGTTTGAAGGGCCTTGTCTGATTACTGTAATGAGACCGTCAGATATGAACCAGATCCGCAGGTTGGTTTGATAAAGTGTTCTGCATGTGACACAAAGTTTTACCATTTGCATTAAATATGAAAATGTGTTTGCTGAAGCAACTAACTCATATTCTCTAACAAACCTGAGGGGAAGTCAGTTAATTCAGCATCACATTGTGAATGTTTTTAAAATAATCACATATCCTGAATTCACCAGCACTGAAACCCACACTTTGAATAAAAATGATAACTTGGCAGGACTCACCTGTGGAGCTCCAGGTGTGTCTAGGACCAGGTCAGGCAGTTCTCGGAGCAATTTGTCAAATGAGTTTTCCATGTCGCTGTGGGACAGAACAGGACCACACAGGTCAGTCAGCAGCCTGGAGGTGAGTTCCCGGTGGCTTGATTTGGCCTCCAGGGCCAGTGATACAGCCAGTGCGGGCACCTCACTCCGCATGGGCCCCAGGTTCAGCTCTGCCAGCAGCTCCTGAACAAGGACAGGGACATTAATTTGGCATGGATGCAAGTTTTTAGAGCTCTTCGTTCAAACAAATAAACAAAACATTCACTGTGAGGTTGTTTCCTGCACAAAACTACAGTGCTTACCGATACTTCATTTGTGTCACCATGTTCAAAGTACTCTTGCACTATGGGGGTGACTGTCTTCTCAAAGTCTCTCTCCTCCAGCGGAGGAACCACAGTCTCATACACACAGTTCCCCTGTCAAAACACAATCATGTTCCAGGTCTACTATTTGCCACATCTGCTGCTAACTATACTAGATATAGATAGTTAGGCAAAATACAGATGTACAGTATCAATGCTTCAGTCTGTACCTGAGCTTCATCATAGTTGGGGTCTTTCTCATCCACCTCTTCTTGTTCATACACTTCACCAGATCGGCCCCACACACCTTTGCCTCCAGCCCCACCTGTGGACCCAGGTCACATGACATTACAAATCGCTCACATTAAGGCAATACGATTTTAAAAAAAAAGGTGTTCAGCCTTGACCAGTGCCTCGCCGATCACTCCGAGATGTCTGTACTGATCAGATTTGGAGGCATGACAGTTAACCTCGTGCATCCAGTGGCACCAGACTAAAAGAGTACCGTGTGTAGCACGTTGCATCTCATGTGCACCTCGAGCAAGGCTCACACTCATGTCTGCGGACACGTGCTCACTCATGCATCATAAGCACTTGGTGTACAGCGCACAGAGGAGCCTACAGAGACACATTTGAGAAAGGGAAACTATGTCCAAATCTCCAGCAAACAGTAGATATCTGATAGATAAATGACTCCAAGACAAACATCATCCCTGGACCCCTTTTTTATGCTTCAATGAGGAGATTACTGCCTACACATGAAATGCATATATACGTACAGTATATCAAACTCGTGCTAAACAGAAAATACAAACTACATGCACACTTCAAAAAGAACAGTGTGCTCAGCAGTAACAGACATTGTTCTGTTCCTGGGCTCCACTATCTCCCAGAAGTGGACGTCCAACATCAGGACCATCACCCAGAAGGCACAGCAGAGGATGTACTTCTTGCGCCAGCTCAGGAAGTTCGACCTGCACCAGGAGCAGCTGATACAGTTCTACAGAGGAATCATTAAGTCTGTTCGCTGCACCTCCATCACTGTCTGGTTTGGCTCAGCAACCAAACAGGACAAGTACAGACTTCAGTGGACAGTCAGGACTGCAGAAAAGGTCATACTCCCCTCTGGACAGCGTTACAGGTCACTGTGCACCAAGACAACCAGGCACAGGGACACTTTCTTCCCCCAGGCCATCACCCTGATGAACACTTAACCCACGACAGTACCTGTAAACATACCTCGTACAGGTCTCTATTTTTAAGTAATCCATTTTATTCCTACTTATCCCATTTCACAATGAGCATTCCTTGTCTGTCTACATTGCTTACTGCCTATTTATACTGTTCATTTTGCATTGTTTGTTGCTTGTTAATACTGCTTATTTTATTATATTACACAGCCTTAAGCTGGTTTACTGTTTACTTGCCCCTCGCATGGGGATATGTACATGCACATTGAGAGCTGATGTACCAGAGTCAAATTCCTCATGTGTACGACACTCCTGGCCAATAAAGCAGATTCTGATTCTGTTGCCCAGTTTATATTTAGATAAGTACAAATATTGCACTTCATACTAAGATGGAAGTTTGAAAAAGAAAAAAGTCAGAGAAAGATAGAAATGTTAAACTTTGTGTTTTATTTTTATTACAATTTAATTTTCCATTAAAGAAAACTTACAAAAACATAGGTGGATCCTGTCAATTACAGTTCTTAGGCAGAAAGAAAATCAGAATTGGCAGGTTAGACTTAAAAAAAGAGAATCAGCTAAGAAAATTGCAATCTGTGCATCTCTACCTTGTACCAGCCAAGACAATTGCAGTCAGTAACATCTCTAGCTCTCTAGCACCAACAGATTGCTGACAATTTAAAGCCTAATACCAAAACAGCTTTTTAAAATCTTCATTAGTCCTGCCCGTCAGTACATTTAGCACAGCACACACTGCTTAAGAGAACGTATCCCACTTTAGTGTTAAAATACACATATGCTAGTTTGCTCCTGCACATCCACTGCCTTTGTCTTTCAAATTTGTAATACATTAACTTTTAATGCTGGAGTTCTGAGCTCCAATTACTGGGTAGCTCTGTTACATAACCAGAAACACTGACGCACACTTTGCCAAGAAAAGCTACACTTGCTCCAATTCCACTGCCCCTGGGAAGAGCAAAGTGACTCAACTGTACTGCAGTCTGCTGGGACACGAGCAGGCACTGCACACTTGCGTCACTGAATGAAGGCCCGCAGTGAAACACAGCTGGACTATAAGAGGTTGTTGTCTTGCTAAATTCTGATTTCTTTACATGTTTAGAATGTGACAGTGTTACTTATAAAAGACAATTCAGGGCAATAAGAAGGCAGGTCAGAGGAGCCATCTATTGGATAAGGAGACAGTAAGCAATGACGCTATGCTGTGGTGTAACACACGGTAAGAAACTGGCACAAAAAGATCGTCTCACTTCACCGACACAAAAACACAATCAAACTTAGACCCGGTAAAAAACACATGAGCTATAAACTTTATAAAAGTAAAGCAAGTTTAAACATTAAAATAATAGCCAGCTGTCTCTGGAGGCAATTGTGGTAGTGTGAAAGGTGAAATATTTACACATCATCCTATGCAATGACACAACATCACCTACAAAACACAAGATTACTGAACCCCTAAATGGAACTTTCCAGAAAAGAACAGCTGAGCAGAACACAAAACAAAGCTTTCCTCTTATTCTCTTTCAAATTGGTATTAGCTGCCTAACACCACCTGGCCATTTTTTCTAGGATAATAGTTTTAGGCTACTAGATGGAAATATGACAGTAATGGCAGTCATGAGGCGATTCTCTCTGAAGCCCTCAAACACCAGTTGCTGTTTGACTGACATTTAGTAATCTGTGCTAATGAACAGCAAAAGGTTATCCTTTGAAAATCAAGAGAAACTGACACATTCAGTCTCTTTGGTATCACAGTGTTAGGCCTACATGATAGCATAATAGTATCATACTGTCCTATCACAACAAGGATAATGACTTCTAAATGATCTAAATGAGAAGATTTCTTACCTTTCTTTGGCAGGCCTCTGCCCTTTCCCAGTCGGGACTTTCTGTCCAGCAGCTTGCTCTTGGGGCTGGTGGGGACTGCCGAGGTTCCCCTGACCACATCCCCGTTATCACTGAGGGAGTCCCCCCTGCCAGAGTCCCTGGAGGAGTTCTTCCTCAGCTTCCGCTTGGCCTTCGCCTTGAGGCGTGCCTCGTGGATGCTGTTGCTAGATGACGTAAGCCAATTTCCATTGATCTCAGTGATGTTTTTATTGGTGAGAACCAGTCCTGCACTGTCTTCATCTCCGGACACAAAAGAGTCACTCAGGTCCTCAGCCTCTGTGGGATTCACAAGGCAAAATGGAGGCGAGTGGACAGATGGTTATTAAATTACTTTTATGTGCTGCACAGATCAGTAAAATTAAAGCTGATTCCTACATTTGTGCTTGAAATATATTTTTAAAAGGGGCTTATGTACAAGTAGAGTCAACTCAGGAAAACATGGCTTATGCCAGAACTATGCCATCACTTTTTATCTGCAGTAAAGCACTAAATGTCGGATAAGCATTAGAACGAAAACAAGGCCTAGTTCAACATCACTAAACCAGCAAGCAATGCAGGATAATAAGAAATGAACCACCTCCGCATGAAAAAGTCCCTGTGACATACACACACAGCTGATGAAGCATTTAAATTGCTGACTGGTTCCCACTCACCAAAGGGGTTTGCGTTCAGCCAGGCCTCGCAGTCAGCTGCCATCTTTAACCGTACAAAAAAGATTTTACAGCAGAACAATGTGCAAAAAAAGAAATGACACCTGCAACACCGAAGAAGAAACTGAGATTTAATATGCAAATTTGCTTTAACAACATGCCCAGACATGCTGCAACGCAACAGCATCCCCTCCCCCATTCATTCACAGTCACTGTTGATAAACAATGACTAATGTTGCGCTGGCTTGAATGTTTCCTGTCAAGAGAGGCTAAACTTCGGAGTATCTAACAGCACTTAAATATAAATGTTTAGCGTCCGTCTTTATATACAAAATCAGAGTTTGCACTTGACATTTAACGTTAGCTAAATCGTCGACTCGCCTTTTACTTATCTGAGAGGACACCCAGTCGCCAATAATAAAGAATCCAACTGCATAGAGCCCGCTAGCTCAAAGTGCACGTTTAAGCTACAAACGATATAACCATTAAATCCTTGACAACAATGTCACATTAAACATGCATAAAATGGACTAAATAACTTACGCTTAAAAACCCCGACTGTCTCTCGCGTCCAACCTTAACTCTCTGACACAAATACGCCGTTTTGCTTTTATCTGCCCAGCAACAGCAGCCGCGCAGTCTTTGTTTTCCTTCTCTGATTGGCTAGAGCTGTTTTATTAGCACAACAGCCAATGAAAATAGAACACGGTATTTTCTTCTCGCATGTTCTGTGGTGTTTGCGGGTTATAAAGTGCTGCCCCCATCTGTAGCACTGTGCAACTGCATTTTCTATTTTTTGAGTGTTTGCTTTTATATTCAGATTAATGAATGATGATGACAGTTATTATAATTCACTTTGACAAATTTGTGATTGTCTTTTATTCCGAACACTTAATTCACGTAAGGATCTTGATAAAAACAGCTTCAATTTTAAGTAGGATTAATGTTAATTGTTTAAACACAAATATTAAAATTGACTATTCAGACCCATAGATTGGCTATGTTGTGTGAATGTATTGTGTGAGTAAGCAGACTAAATGTAAGACACTGATAATCTTTATAAATAAAGAAACAATTCTGGTCAGAATCGACCAACAAACAAAATTACTGAAGCTGAATTTTAGGCCTACATATTAAATTTTAAACTCTTTTACAACAGTACCACTGAATTTGATATAAAAAATGGAAAGATGCTCACTATGAAACTAAATCAATTTTTTAACCTTAAAAATCCATTGATTTATTCCTTACTACTGGCGATGAAATTGAGCTATTTTTATTGGCATAGTATAGATAAATTAAGGGATTAAATAAACAAATTTCTTTACTGGATGTGGATGTTTTGCACAATTTAAGGAATGTTTAACAGCTGACCAAAAACATGGAAAATTATGCCTCAATTGACCTTAAACTGCCTTCATTTTCAAATTAAATAAAAAATTCAGGGGTAGTTTTGATGGGTTTAGTTCACTTTAAGGGGTTTGGGTTCAGATGGTAATGCGTGCTTGGTAAAACTGGTGAAAATCAGATTTAGCTGGTATTCCACATGTGACTTCCATTGTTTATATTGTGTAAATATTCTTTGTGAGTAAGCAGACTAAATGTTTGACAGTGAAAATCTTAATAAAAAGGGCAATAATTCAGGTCAGGATCAATGAACAAACATAAATATCAAAATTGAATTTTAATATTTAGACCTAGACATCAATATTGTTCTTTTGCCTCAACACTTGAGGGAGCTCTTTTACCATACCCTGTCTGTGGAAGTGTTCCTGGCTGTATTATCAATATCACACAGTGTAGGCCTACTATAATATGTTTGGTAAAATCAGTTCCAGGCTCTATGACAAGATTTGTAATTTTTTAATATAGGGGAAACACGTCCTTTAAAATAAAGTTGTTGTTTTTTTTTACATAAAAAAAAATCATATTCAAATTTTGTTAGAGAAACCAACACGATCATGATCACTATTCACAGTATACAAAAGAAAGTCTGGATTGATAATCTTTCTGAAGTAATCACTGTAATATTGCTTGTTTTGCTCTAATAAATTCAACACATGGTCTCCTGCCTTTAAATAAATAAATATTTGGATGTTGTATACTGAGCTATACATTTAAATCTGTTCAACAAATGCAACAAACCTGAGAATCTGCCTCAGTTTTTTTAACTGAGTATAACATTCCTTAATATATGAAGTATTTCAAGTCATTTTACAGCTGTAAATGTAATAATCATCATTGCTAGAATAATGTAGCCTACTGTCCAAATTCAAAATAAGGTTATCTCATGAGAATAACTGATTCAAGCCTAATAAATGGACTAACAGAAGTCCAAACTGTATGTTTGTTCACACTAATTATCATTGCTTCATTGCCATTATATATATACATTAAAAAATATATATGCAATGCAACAAGAGAAATTGTAAGAACACTGATAAACCAAAGCACAATGGCAATTAAATATTACAGACTCACTATATATTACACTTCAAGTATGTACACAATTAAGAACCAACATTTGAATAGTCAGATTCACTCTGGGCATCCAAGCATCCCTCTTCTGAAGATATCAAACTCAATACAATTGTCTACATACTCTATCCATCCTATACAGTATTTGTCCATAGCCTTGCACCACCAGCACACACACATGATTGTGTTCTTTCTGTATGAGAGGTGAGAGGTCAAGCTGTCACTGTGCAGCTGAGGGATCAGCACGTGTGCCCAACAGACTTTCCCCTGCCAGCTGAGACAAATATTTCTGTGGATGAGTAGAAAAAAAAGCAAATAAAAACTCAAAATCCAAAATACATGCAATATGTATAAAATACAGTATAACAGTTAATGACTTGGCTGTATAAAGGTCCTTTCTATTACTTTTCCTGATTTATGGCATTTCCACTGAGATTAAATTTTTCTTTTTTAAGAAAGGAAAGGACAAGGAAGCAGCATCTGATGACAAAAGTCATTACTGTAGACAAGTAGCCATCTGGTCAGTCTTTATCAACGTCAACATTACATGAAACATATTATATGAAACATATTCAGGGCTACCTAAAACATTTTCATTTGAGTGAATGAGTGTAAGAGAACTGTAGTCACTGGTAGTCCAAAAGGATATTACACAAATACCAATCTGAAGTGACATATTCTAAAGTGTAAAATGAAATACTACAAGTCTGAATAGTAAAACTATACGCATTTAAACATTTAAAATACTGAAGCCTATTTTTATGTACAGCAGTCAAAGGTGACGATGAAACTGAAACTAAGCCAAAAGTCTCTGTTGCTATACAAGACAACAATAATAGTAATATATTTAAACTACATATTGATGATGAGTAAATAAAGTAAAACAGAAATATAAGGTCAAAAGGGTGACAAAAAGCAATGCACATACACCCTGGCGTTTTGACAGACAGCACAACTGTTTAAAATATCTTTTCCTCCATGGAATGTAGTTCGTCAAACACTTGGGAACTGTCGCTCTGCTGACCTGCTTCAGCTGTGCTGCCCACAATGACAGAAATACAAGGTGGCATGGTGCCAGTAATCAGAAACCTAATACAACTGCAAGTTTACATGCAGCGTGCACAGTATGTTGTGTAAGTCTTTGTCTTATTTTGTGTTTGCCCATCTGACTGCATGTGCTGGCATTCCTTATTAGTCTGTCAGTTAGATTTTCTCTTAAACTTTTAGTCTATAAAATATCAAAAATAGTTTTAAAAATTGCAAGCCTAAGGCGATGTCTTTAAATTCCTTGCTTTGTCCAACAAAAGAACACTGTGCTCACGAGCAATGCTCAAACAGGCATGGTGGAAACGTTCATACACCACACACACAGAGTTACTGTCAGATACAAACCTCAGTTAGGGTCGATCATACAATTCAAGGAGGAAAGACTGAATAAAATGTAAAAATATTTAATTCCAGATTTTACTCTGGTTTGCCATCTTTGTCATGGTTATCACCCGAAGGACTGGTGTATCACTGTGCATGTGTACCTGCAGGTTCCTGTAGTGCACTGTGCTGCGGCAGTGTGTCGTTTTTGCAGTTTCTTCACTGGTATAGAAGAGTCCACAGAGTTTACAGTAGAAGGAAGTCGTTGGCTCGATGAACTCCACTCCTATGAGATAGCAAGCACAACAATTAGAAACCAGCACGTGACAAGATGAGATACTCACAAAGGGGATTTACACCATTAGTACTAGAAGCAATATTACAAACTGTTTAATGAAATGACTAACTTTGTCTTACTTTGAAAATAAAAAAAATACTTACATTTATTGTACACCTTATTCCCCTCATTTAATCAAATGTTATTTTCATTAATTCAACCAGATTTTAATTTCATCTACACTGACACAAAGAAACCAAACCATGACTCTATTATCAGTGGCAGACTGGATAATGTAACCTGGGTGCTTCTTCTACTGAACCAGCTTCCTCTATGTTTCAACCAAAACATAGACCCAGCTTCATTGATTCTAGTCAATGAAAAAAGTTTTAAATCAAAGAAAAAGATATAGCAATGAAAAATCACAACATCTATCACAGAGAAAATATTAAAAACAAACTAAAAATGAGCCACACATAGTGCTTTCTTTAGCTAACTTTGGCTGCGCTCCTTATTTACTCCCAGCCAGGGATATCGCTGTTGCACGGCGGTGACAGACTGAGGCAAATCATGCTAAGTACCCCACACTAAAACACAATCAGAGAAATGAATACAGAAGTTCTTGAATCTCGTCATGTCTCCAGTTATTAGATATTTTCATTGGTGTCTTTGGTCATTGGTGTTTTTTTCTTCTGGTTTGACGTCAGTCACATGATAGAACATCATCAGCGCGCCCACTGGCTCATGTGAATACTGTGGACTATACGCTGCTGTATTCTCACATGGACTCACTCCAGCTCACTCAGACCTGACGCAGACTTTGTACTAGGGAGCTGGCAGGGTAAAGCCCACTTAAGGTCCAGGTACACTGACTTGGACATTTGCATTCTCACAAACAGCTCCCCCAGGTAATGTCTAGAGAATTTCTGGGTTCCAATGCATGTCTGAAAAGGGCTTCAGTGTGTATTCCAGCACAGTCATACCTTGATTACATGAAATTACACAGTAAGAACAAGTACACACAACATTTAAGTTATTTTAAAACACTGTTCAGGCAAGTGCTAAAGTATATTTCAAAAATCCTTTTTCAGATCAATGTGATGATAAAAAAAAATTAGCAACAACAACCATATGACTCATCAGCATTAAATTTGTTATGCTACCAATGGACACTTTTCTTTGCGCACAGACACACACGTGGGACGTCATACATCAGAAATAGCCACACAGCTAATGGCACACACAGCTCTTGTGTCTGTAGTGTGGTCAGTTGTTGCCACATTGCAACACTGCTTTTGCAAGTCTCCGTGCAGCAGTCCTAGACCGGCAATGTGTTTAGCTGTGTCATTCTACCCCTAATGATAATATAAATAATCTTCTCTCTGGGGTGCATTTCACAACCTACTTATGAATGTAGGTCAGCAAGTAGCCTAACAATTCCAGCTAATTAGAGTGCTAATGCCGCAGGCTGGCAGTGCACTTTGTAATGGTATAAATGATAACACTGGATCATTAGGACTAAGACCACTGGCTGAAAACCCCATGAACCTGTGTCTGTGACCCACTCAATATAGACTCGCTCAAAGACAACCGGAATGAATCTAACCACAGACTCCTCGTACTATTTTCATCATTGTTGCCACTCCTCTATTTCATGGAAACTGATATTTTCTGACAAAATAGTAATGACTACATTTTGACATCTTCAGTGGCTTTATCTATTCTCAGTACAATACTGGATTAGAATGAAAACCTGTTACACTTACCCAGTGGGATGTTGTGTTCACTGACAGCTTTGTCTTGCTCACGAGATGGCAAGAGGACCTCAGTCTCTATGAAAGGCACAGAAATTATGAGAAAAGCAGCATGCACTATACCTGCTCAGCAATGATTTTTTCTTTTACTCAGCAATATAATAAATTTAGTACAATAGCTAAAAGAGTTGCAGAAAAAGATTTATGTCCTCCCATTAATCTACAGTCGATATAATTTCTATGCAAGATATTTAGTAAATATGCTTCCTGCAATGAAAAAATGTATCTTATTCATTTCTTATGCCAACATTTGATTTCTCATTTGAAACGTACCTTTTCTAAGAACGCCACCCTTGTGTTGTGCCCCATTAGCAACTATTTCAATGTCGTCTCCTACTTTTTGGGTTTTGCTGTCCTCTAATACTCTAATGTGATTTCTCTCTTGGTCTTCTGGTGGCCCACTGTTGGCTGCTTTATCTTCTAAACATGTCCCTTCCAGTGCACATTTGACTGCCTCACTAAGGTTAGTGATCAGTAGCTCAGCAGCCACTGGATTAAGTTTCTGTTCTTCAGGACTGGTTACAGTCAAAATATTCCCTGCTTTCTCAGTTGTAGATGTTTCTACCTGCTCCTCAGATCCCCCACAGGACATTTCCTGGTTAGACTTATTGTACAATGTCTCTTGCACCTCCTTTGAGGAGGTAGGAGGTGATATGTGCTCCTCTAGCACTTCTTCCTCTGCAGATTCTTTGGGGCAGGATGCATACTCTTCCAGCTCAAGAAGGTCTGGCTCAAAAATGGACTCATCTTCCCCTCCAACTTCATCTACAGTGACCAGTTCTTCCATGTTTTTAGGATACCAACACTCCTCATCAGTGTCATCTCCACTTCTGCATTCCTTATCCTTAAGAAAAAAAGCAAGTTCACATTTAACCGATGGGTTTAACTAAGGGTCTAAAGGAGTTTGAATGTGATGTACAGATCAAAATGTTTACTCACAGTGTCTCTATCTTTACTAGCCTCTTTTGACTTCTTTTTTTGCAGAGGGGAAACAGATTTTTCTTTCGGCTGGCATTTCTGAAAAAAGTATGGGCTCAGTGTCACATAAAGCAGGTATACAACAATAATGCACATTCACATAAGTTACTCACAGTATTTTCAGTAGTGTTTCCGTGCTCGTGTTTCTCGGCTGTAGTGTGCCTTCTGCTCCTGCCCATGCCAGGTGAAATGTGTCTTTTTTCCTCTGGTGTTCTGCGAACCAGCTCCTCAGTCATTTCAAACTCAGAATGCCTCAATCTACCGTGGTAGTCACCTCCCTCCCTCCTCTTTGGCTTTGTATCGTGCCTTTGGTATTGGGGTCTGGGTGGCTTGTCTGACTTGTACATCTGTTCCTTCATGTAGAAGTCATCCTCCATGGTCCTGTAAGAGCTGAAGAACATGCCTTGAGGGCTGCCACGTGGATGCCAGTCTCTGTTGTCCCTCAGCCCTTCACCTCCTCCTCGCTCATCTGCAGATCTCGAGCTGATATGTTCTAGAGGTTTCTGGTAGGCCTTCCAACGGTCAGCCGCCCGTCCATTAGGCCGATTGTCATCCACACTTCCCTCGTTCCTCCATGGATCATCCCTCTCCCTTTTGTCCTCACTCCTTCTTAAGTGTGATGACCAATCCCAAGAGTCTCGGCGGGGTCCCAGGTCGTTGCTACCTCTCTCCAGACCCCTGCATGGTGGCCCCTGGGGACTGGGGGCTGAGCTGCATGATGTAAAACTGGGACTGTGGGAATGCGGACTGAGAGAGCGGTTGAGTGGACTGCGGGAGCGTGCTCTTTCTGGCACATAGCTAGGGGAAGAGGATAGTTGAATTTCATAGAGGAATCTTCTCCAGCTGTGCTTTGTATTGTAGCTGTTTTTAGTTCAGAAATATCACACTGATTCAACTTAATTTTGATAATCTTTGACATTTTCACACATTTCCATGTTGCTTTATACCTAAACTTTCCTCACCTACACATAAACAAAGATTCCAGACTGAAAGGACAATGAAAAGTTGCCTTACTGTTCAAGTTCTTGAATCTCATTCCTTTCCCATTGAGAGGTGATATCTTGTATGATTGATTGAACATCTTTGCCTGGTTTCTATACAGAAAAGAGAATTTTAGTAATTGGATAACAGCCAATAACCAGCTGTTCACTTTGTTCTTCAGTCTTACCTTCAGTTGTAGCTCCCTGTACCTCTTAGACATTCGTATGAGAAGTTTTTGATTGTTAATCATAGCTGGAGCAAGTTGGTAATACTGAACCATGGCTTGAGCTGCTTCAACATAAGCCATCTCCAGAAATGCCTAATGGAAGAAAAGACATTAGAGTAAACATTATTTCCCTTCTGACAGTTTTATGGTACTAACACATTTCACATCTCAGTGGATCTAAGCAAATCTTTGAAAACCATCATCACAAAGCATCACATTTCATTGCCTTAGGAAATGACCAGAACAGGATTTTAGTATGACTGCTATAAACAGTTAAATCCCCAGTAAGTAATGACAAAGTCAAGTCAAGCCAAATTTTATTTATATAGCCCAATACCACAAATCTGAAATTTGCCTCAAAGGACTTTATAATCTGTATAGCATATGTCACTCTCAGTGCTTAGACCCTTGAGTTGGATAAGGATTATCAGTATTGCCTTATGGCTGTTGCTTGCTGTAGCCAAGAATGCTACAAGAGCAGTAAGAGTGAACCAGAGCAATAAAGTTACAGGTTGCTAAACACTGAGCTAATAACTCTGTAAAGCTGAGGCCAGCTGCTGAGTCAAGTGATAATTCTCCTTAGGTCCATCAGTACGAGCAACTCCCCTCATACCGTCAAATTGCTCTAAAGATATTGATTAATGTGGGTCAGACTTTGCATGCTGCCACTGGTGATCAAAGCCCACTGACCTATTGTGGGAAGCCTGGCAAGCAGCTGGACCGCCTGCTGATTGAATACATGCCAAAATTGAAAAGATGGTTGTGACCCTTGACCTTTGACCCCACATGGTTAATTTAATTTTTGGCATTTACAACCCTGCACAGTCTTTGATGCATGAAGTGACTCCATCAAACAAATACCAAAAATCTGATATGTATACCTTTTTATGTAATAATGTTGTGTAACCAAGGAAGGACATTTTAAATATTAATTGATACATATAAGTAACAAACAATTGATAAATTAGTTTTTATTGTACCTGATGGGTAGAGCGCATGAGGATGTAGTTGGTGACTTTGCCAAAAGGTATTCCCAGGTTAATGACATCATTCTCTGTGCAGCTGCCTTCAGGGAGGTTACAGATGTGAACAACTCGCCCTGCGGCTGCCTTTCTGGCTGTAAGTGGCTGCAAAAAATAATAATAAAAAATTACAGTCTATGACCAACCATGAATATTGTTTTAAACATCACACAGAACATTGGCAAAACTGTATCGGACACCTAAAAACAGCTGTTGGTGAATTCAGTCAAAGACCTTCATATCTCACTTTTTTTAAACATTCAGACCAAACCAGAATCAGAATAATCTCATCCTGCTTAGACTTCTATTAACACCATGACCAGTATAAACTGAGCTGGTCATCAGATTTTTTTCAACTGTTCACTTGTGTGTTCAAACCAGCCAACCCTCTAATAAGGACAGGATCTCAGTTGTTGTTTTTATACACTTTTTGTCTGTGCTTGCAGTTCCTCACTGCTTCCAGTAATTGTGTGAAGTTAGGCTTAACCCTCAACTGGATGCACAGAGACTGAACTGATGCTGACCTCATCATCTGACTGTGAACTTGACAGCCAAAAAGCCATACTTCCAAGAATGTTGTCGTGATTGTTTAACGATCTGTGTAGCACATCAGAATCAAGCCTTCTCTAGGAAAAATATTAATGTGACACTATCAAACAAGATGTCACGTCATTTCCCCTCCATGATACAGGCTACCTCATTGTCTCTATTAATAGTAGTGTAGAAGTGATAATGAAAGTTTTCTCATCAGCTGACTGGCCCCAGACATTTCACATTTCACACATTTGACACCAATCCCTCTAGGCTGCTAAGTACAGTGACCTGCATTTCTCTATATCACGTTGTCTTTCCCCTTTAAATTAAAAACGTGGGTGGGTGAGCAGTGAGTAAAAGATAGACAGGAAGCTGTAGCGATATCACTGTGTTATTTTATGAAGTGGACATATATGCAGATGACAAACAATATAAAGAACTAGTGCTGCCATTGAAGGGATGTAGAGAAGTTAAAAAGTGTTATTGTCTCCACATCCCTTGCATTTATATGCATCCTCTTTTCTGTTCTGATAAACTGTATGACACCTTTTAGTGCTTTTTTCAACTTTCTCATTAGTTCCCATTCATCTTTAAAAACATAAGAACCACTTTCTCTCTATTTCCACCATTAAACCAGTTTTTGCACATGCTGTTTGACACCTTGTTTTCTGTTAGCATCATCACAGAAAGCAGTTGTAAAGTTTGTTATATCACAGGGTCTTATTTCTGCAACCATCGGGCTGCATCTACAATTTTTCCAGTGCCCTCCTCCTCCTCTTTCGCCTGACAAAGCTGACAGACAGTTCCATGTGTGGGACAGACTGGGGTCCTAATCCCACCTCAGACCGTCAGCCAAGCTCTCTGGTTTTATGAGGACTTTGTTCATGGAGCTCCCAACACTAACATACACTTCACACTGGGTGCAGAAGCCATGAAGTGTAGAATGTGTAAAGGGGGAAACATTTACAATCTCAAAGTCTGTTTATTAAACAAGTCGACACATAATCAGAGGCAACTGTATCAGTATTCAAAACAAACACAAAGAAATGTTAACAACTAGTTCATAAATAATGGAACTGTATCACAAAAAAAGACTAATACTTTAAGACAGAAAAAGTGGAGTAGCTAATAAATGAGAAGTCAAACTTTCTTTGACTTTTGGCTTATGACACAACTCTTTTACAAATCAGACACTAGATTTGAGACAGCAATATCTTTTCAAAAATAGTGGAAAGAACATATTATTTTCCATAAAACCCCGACCATAAAATGATGATGATGTTGTCCACACCTTGATGGTTTGTGGACAGCAGACTGATGTTAACAGGATACAGCTGATCATTTTCTCTAACAGTATTTCCAACAATCCCCAAACAGAGACTAAAACCAATTGCTTCTACTTATGATTATGTCTGTCAGTCTCCAACCTGGAACGGCTTATTCATCTGTGCTGCAGACCTCCATTGTTGCTCAAAAACATAAGCACATCAGGGAAACACATCACTGCACCGAGTGACATGTTTCATCATTACAAAACACCAGACTCTAATATTTGTTAAGCATATCCTGGGATTTTGTGCATGGACCCTTGACTCTTGTTGACTTCAGATGCAATAAAAAGTTGCAGACATTTGAGGCAACATTTTTCAAAAATATCAGCGTTTTGTGTTTCATAATGACGATACATGTCACCCAGTGCAGCGGTGTGTTTTCCTGAGGTGTTTTTAATTGTTTTTGAACAACCATGGAGGTCTATAGCACAGACAAATAAGCTAATATAGGACTGACAGACATGAGTAGAGGCAATTTACTGTTGTTTTTAGTCTCCATATGGGGATTGCTGAAAATACTATTAATATAGAAAATGACTGGCTTTATCGTTTAAAAAGTTCAGATGCAACAGCTCAGTGCCACCACCAGAATACGTACATAAACGTCACTGCCAGTTGGACTCAATAAACAGAACCAAGAATAGGTTGTTTACACAATAACATTAATTTTGCTTCATTACTGGTAACTCTCCACACTTTTAAAATATATGTCTGCACCCTATACTGAATTCCTAGTGATTTTTGAGTGAAAAAATTGTTTAGTACATGTCACATAGGTTTATGTCAGTTCAATATGGATAACACATTCCTGACTAATTCTTATGTTATTTGTGATGTCCTGGTAATTTGTTGCTGTACCGCTGTGCTCAATTTCATCTATATGTTTTCACTGGGACTCAAAGTCTATACTATGCAGCCCTTTCAAATCTTTCTTGTAAATAAAACAATAATAATAATTAAGCTGCTGTTACATACTGTATGTGTGATGTAGAGCTGAGATTGTGTAGACAGCTACTTTATTTAACATCAAACTGTTTCTGTTCTGAAAGGCAGACAATTAAAGACACAGCTGGGTTTTTGTCTGTTGTTAACTAATTTTTACAGCAGGATGTAGATTACAATGTGATGTTATTATCAAAGTATGAATAATTTCATACACTGTTCACTGTTGTACAATATCTTCTTTGGTAAAAAAAACAAAAGCCATTTTGTTACACTATTTTACTGCTAAAATTGTATCCTGGGCTGGATAATCATTATGTGATAAAACAAGAAACAAAAAATATACGACCTATCTTAACACAGCCAACAATTAATGACAGTTTGCTGGACTATTCAAGTCAGAGGAAATTAGCTGTCAAGCCCATGCAAAGCTTGCTGTTGGGCCCCAGGAGCTGTATGTCAAGAAAATGTTCTGTGTCCATTCATTGCACAAAATACATTCAGGGCCCATTCATTAATCTCCTTTGAAACATTTTCCTGCTGCCGAGCTACAACATAGATATAAAATGTAATAGTATATCACGTTAGTATGACCCTCTCACTCTGCACCAAAGAATACCATTGAACACTGGCCACTGCCCTCCGAGTATAACCAAATCCTGTTATACTATGACAGACGTTTCTCACATTTATCAGTAGCACTCTTCAGAGCTTTTCACAAAAACAATCCTGAGAAAAAACCCAAACATTTGTCTGACCTTTGACTCTGGCTGGTGTGAGGCAAATCCTGTGTCTGACACGGGATAAGTCTTCATGGCTGCAGCTGGCAAGTATGATGTATTGGTTCCTGAGGATACATCTGTGGAAAAAATTGGACGATTTAAAATATTCCTCACACGGTATAGTAGACCAAATGTGTGGGAAAAGATTTAATTTGTTGACTTCATGTCTTAGAAAATGTCCTATTTAAAATCATTGTTAGTTTCCCTATTTTAAATAATTCAGTGATTTAAAAACAATTTTCTTTTTGTATATTTATGGCATTTGAAAACATGAGGTTGGGAAAAAGGGCTCAGAATATACTGTGCACCTTTGCGAAGAACTGTTATAAACTAGTAGTTGTTCCAGCAGTTGTTTGAAAATTTGAAAAATACTATTAATATAGAAAATGACCGGCCTTGTCCTTTAAACTGAAGTTTGCAGTACCTCTATAATAAAGAGTCTTCTGGACTTTTGTAAAATGGCACATGATGCAGCTAGCTCATTACAACAGTCGTGCCTTGAGTTGCTCAAAATAAGGCACATTCTTTCCTTCTTATTTACAGCTATTATTCACTAACTTTTCTAAACACTGAACACTTCATTTAAAAATAAAGAATCAGTGGGAGGTTACATATTTAACTATGATTCTTGGATTTCTTTCTAACTTGAAGCTGCTAAAAGATAAATTCCAAACTCATTTACACTGTCTGGGTAGTTTGTTTTACAGGAATTACACATAAACGAATACATAAGGGTTATGTAGCATAATGGAGAAATACAATCAATATGATAGGGAACAGGTGCTCAGTTTGTTTACAAGTAGTGCACCATTACACTGAAGTCATCAGCTTTGTGGTTTTGTAGCTATAAAGTCATAAACCCTGAAAAAGTGCAAAACAAGGTTTGGGTTAGTGTTGCAGTTCAAAACATTTCATTCTAATGCAATATCTCAGTAGACCAAAACACACTGTGTCAAGTTCTAAAAGCATATTGTCTCATACTCTCACATAACTAAAAATACTCCCTGACCTCACTCAGTTTAACATAATCCAGAGATTAGAAACGTATCACTCTAGCATCGCCAGCAAAAAGGGACACTTCGTTGGCAGTGGTCAAAAATTGGTTACCCCACCTTGACTTGCAGCAGAGTAAACCACGGAGTTCGTCCCTCCGGGGTTCAGACCTCCATCGGAAGGCCCACAGACAGCGTAGTGAGCAGTTCCATCTGATAGCACAGTGGTACTGCAACAATCACAGAAGGCTGATTTTAGCTGCTGCTCTTCTGGTGTGCTCACTCATATCTTGTGACAGAGCTCATATTCATAGAAACATTAAGTCAGCTGTAGAGCAAGAAAAAGGTAAAGAAACTCCTTCCAACACTCAGGAGATACGAGTTTTCTCTGAACTGATGAATAAAGGGCTAAAACTAAAAAATGATATGTAGCTGGTAAGAGAGCGCAAAATTTATCGGATCATGGCCAAGTATAATAATTTTACTTACAGTTGTCTGAAAGTCAACAAATCAACAGAATAAACAGAGTGAAGCTACTAGATTTGTGAACCTCTGAAGTCATCACTCAGTAGTAAATCAACAGTGCATGGGAGAGCAAATGACTCACCTTTCATGTGTGTACAGCGTTCGGTTCTGTAGGTGCAGTTTTCCCTTCACATGCTGGTCCCAGTCCTACACACATGCATACATACACACACACACCATCCAAATATAGACTCCAACAGCTTGACCACATTGGAAGCTTAAGGCTCGAAATGCCTTTGGTAGCTCTTACATGCCCTTCCTATAAATCTCGTGACAGGGAAAAATTAAATAGAACATTTCTCAGTGAGTGAGTTCTCATCTACTCAGCTCAACTCCATTTCTATAGCACTCATTTCCAGCAAATGGCAACTCAAGGTGTTTCATATGCAGGACAGACAGAAAATATAAAACACCGTTCAAAAACAGCATTTAAAAGATGACATTAAGCAATAAAAACAGCAAAACGATCATTTAAAGGTATGTGCAAACAGCAGTGTTTTCAGTTTACATTTAAAAACAGTGTCTGCAGATTTTATGTCCTATGGAAACTGGTTCCATCTTTGTGCTGCATAATACCAAAGGCAGAGCTTAGAAACCTTTTAGGTTGATGTTCTTTAAAAAAGATCAGAAATATACTGCAGTCTCAGACCACTGAGTGACTTATATACTAATAGCAGCACTTTAAAATCTATCCCACAAAAAAATAACAGCAGCCAGTGATGTGCTCAGCTGTATTAGTTGTAGTCAGAACTCTAGCTGCAGCATCCTGAACAAGCAGAAGTTGTTTAACAGGTTTTGGATGAAGACCCGACAGAAGGCCATTACAATAGTTTATTCTGCTGTCAATAAAGGCATAAGTACATTTTTCAGTCTTCTCTGGACATGAAGCTCCTGAGCCTGGATATTTGCTTCAAATAAAAGTAGGCTGATTTAGACTCCTAAAGTTAAGATCAGCATCAATTTGGACACCAGGATTTCTGACCAGTTCTTGTTTTGATAGATCCACACTGAAGGTAAGCAATAACTTTCAATCTTTCATTTTTGTTACCAAAAACATCTTTATTTATATCCTTATTTAACTGGTTAAATTTTATTTTTATCCAGATATTGATTTGCTCTGAGCACCAATGGAATGTGTTCAAGAGACCATAATCATTTGAGGTGAGAACTAAATAAATCTGCATGTCATCTGCATACTGTAAGTATTGTACGAAATATTATTATCGTGTATGATGTTGCCCAGAGGAAGCATGTACAGGTTAAACAATGATGATCCAAGGATTGAACCTTGACGATCTCCATATGGTGCAACAATTTGCTCAGATTTATGGAAACCAATGGCGATAAAGTAATTCCTGTCCTGAAGATACATTTTGAACTGAGGCAGAACACCCTTTGATAGACTGGTGACCTGTCCAGGGTGTACCCTGCCCTTTGCCCAATGTCAGCTGGAACTGGCTCCAGTCCCCAGTGACCCTCTTCGGGATAAGCAGTATAGATAATGGATGGATGGACTGATTTAGAACAGCACTAGATAGTCCCACCTGATTTTCCAGTCTCTCCAGAAGAATACTGTTTCTAAAGCCAGAACAATTTTGTGTACTTTTGTGTTTCTATTCTACAATTCAATTCAATTCCACAACAACCATTCATTTACATTTTGACAGATCACTCACCTTGAGGTTGTAGACCTTCTTGTCACAGATGCTACACTGGTGTGGCAGTTGAGTGGGTGTGACAGCGTGGTAATCATTGACTTGATGTGGCTGAAGTGTCTTGGTGCCTGAAGATATAGCTTCCTCACGTCCATGTGGGGAGTGGTAGCCCACAAACCCCTGTATACCACTTGAGCCAAAAGAGGAAACCCCAGCACTGGGAATGAACTTGGGGTCAGGGGTTGGTTCCTCTGGGTTATACAGCTCTGTTCTGGACCGGATCAGCTGCCCAGCTGATGTCCACACAGCTGCAGCATTAGGAACCATATCCACCTTTCCGGTGTGACCCAAGTTAGTGGTGCCTTTCCATTGCTCCTTATGCCCAGTGGTGTTATAAACATTCACATTCTGCTCATTGACATTTACCCCAGCTTGCTGTTCATGTCTGTCTTGCCCGTAGAAATTTCTCTGAAAACCAACATTGCTTTTTGCCTGAGTATTAATTCCTGTGTACTGTCCATCACTGGTAGTGGATGATGCCGCAGATGTCCCTCCAAATAAGTTGTACTGTAGACACCTGTCAGTATCACAAGGGTAAGGTGACCCTGACTTTTTACCATACTCCGTGCCCTGTTGGCCCACAGCGCCACCTCCACCAGAATGGTTCAGTCTCATATTCCCTGGGTTTTGGTTGAATCCTCCACCCGCCAAAGTTCCCAAAGCTGAATTTGAGGTGGGAAAACCTATCACCCCTGTGGGTAAGGTACCCTGGGGATTCCCAACTATTGCTGAAGTCTGTAGCTGATTGAACAGGGGTTGGGACATGGCAACATTGGAAAGAACCTGATTGAGAACAGTAGCTGCAGTGGCTGTATTGCCTCCCTGAGCCAACTTGAGGCGATGTAGGGTGAGCTGGGCCTGGAGCTGAGCAAGCTGGAGGCTGGCCGGGGTCAGGAGGAGCTGCTGGTTAGGCTGGTGGGGCCCCGTCTGCACACTGCCTGGCAACTGACCTCCCACCTGGATGCTCTTGTTATCAATGCTGTTCCCAGGCACCGCACTGATGCTGAAAGAAAAAAAGCTATATTTTAGGAATCTTAAAGGAAAACTCAACTTGGCTTAGAGGTTATCTGTCGATGTTTATCTCTATGCTTACAACACTGGCATGGTAGAGCAGCGCATGGCCACTGTGGTGAGTGTTATCAATATCAACCTGTACTTACAGTTTTTCACAATTGCTAAAACAATAAACCCCATTCTCTGAACCAAAATCTCAATAGCCTAAATCAGTTTGTTGAATAAATCACTCTTTCTGCAAAACCTTAAACAAGTTCAGGCACTTAGACTCTGTTAGCAAAATCTCATGCACTCTAATTTTGCTAAACTCTAAACACATTCTCACTCACTAAAACACAATTCGCACTGTGATGAACCTGTGTTGCAAAACACTAAACAGAGGACAGCAGAACTTAAATACAACTAAAGCACAGTTGTCATCTTTTACACACAACGATTCAACATTGTTCACACTTGTTTCTAATTATGTGATGAGAAGGTACAAATCATAAGCCAGTTCAAAGTGCACAGATGTCACAGGTACATCCATCAACTATGAATAACAATATGAGAGGTAGAGGAATATGAGGTGTTGGACAAAAAGGATGAGGAAAAGTAAGACCAAGAACAGAATGTGTTCCTTCCACCATACAGCATGTCCTCAACCCAACAGAAGAGTTTTTCTCTGCATGGTGGTGGAAAGTCTATGACTGAAACCCATATACCAGGGGAAATCTCTTACAGGCAATGGAACTGGCCTGTGGTAAGATAGACGTGCAGTCTTGTCAAGGCTGGATCCGCCACACCAGAGGGTTTTTTGCCCATTGCCTGGGAAGGGACAACATTGCCTGCGACGTAAATGAAGCCCTCTGGCCGGGCCCAACTCATAGACATGATCCTGAGGCAGAATAATCTTTCTGATGTGTTTTTCTTCTTCTTCTTCTTCTTTTTTGATCGTAACATGGTTTTTGGTAAATTCACTATACAATAAAGTTTTTTTTGTGTTTTGTGAATTTAGTTTGAGTATTTGGATTTGTGTTTAAGGTTTTGAGAAAATGAGTGGTGGTTTCAAGAAATGTGTTTTAGCAATTCAGAAAAATTGTAAAAGCAGCAAACATTTTCTTAAACATTCAACAAAGGAAAAAACATTGCTCTGCTTACAATTACGTTCACACTGTTTTCAAGCAAATAAAATATCATTATTGATTGCTAATGTAAAAAGTAGCTGGGCATAGCCATCAGCCGGCTGCCAGCGATGCTGTGTTATGAAGAAATGAAAGGAAGTAATCAGTGCCAAAAGGTTTTACACAGCAGTTTACTATCAATGAAGTTGTTTTCTAACACAGTGTTGTCAGCCAGTGTGTGTTGGCGGTATGGCTGATGAATGTAGCTTGGAAAGATGGTTACAACAGCTGGTAAGCAGAACAAATGTTCATTATTCACTTGCAATACACCCAGAACATATTATGTGATATTACTTCTTAATTCAGTTTTTGTACACATGCTCTGGTAGGTTCATCAACCACATGAACTACAGTATGGTAGACACTGCTGCGTAGTGTGAGCTACAGTGCAAAGGTTATTTATACTAAACTAGGGATGAGATAAATATGGAGGGCAAGATGTAGCAACAACCATGGGCAGATTTGCTGTCTCTGTGTCTCTGCACCAGTATTCAGTCTAATTCTAATCTAATCAGTTTACCTTTTTGGGTGACAATGTCAAACTGTTTTTTACAGTGTATTACAGTTAGTCTGAATTGCTAAAACACGTTTTTTGAAACCACCACTCATTTTCTCAAAACCTTAAACACAAATCCAAATACTCAAACTAAATTCACAAAACCTCTGACTCGTCTGGCAAAATCAAGCAATTGCTTCAAAACCATGTCACCAGCACTGAAAATCAAACAATGCTTTTAGATCATACACAAATGAGTCAATCATATACACACTGCAGCTCCGTCATTAGACACTACATCAAAAAAAGGAGAACACAGCATCCAGGACATGTAGTTACAACAAAAAAAACTTTATTTTATAGTGAATTTACCAAAAAACCATGTTACAATCAAAAAAGAAGAAGAAGAAGAAGAAGAAAAACACATCAGAAAGATTATTCTGCCTCAGGATAATGTCTATGAACTGGGCCCGGCCAGAGGGCTTCATCTGTGTTGTAGGCAATGTTGTCCCTTCCCATGACTGTCCAGTCATGAAGATTATCGTTTCTCAGGCTGATTGCAAACTGTGCTTGCTGAACTTTGTTATTCAGAGAAGGGACAACTGACTTTGTCCTTAGTGCAGTTTGGTATAACGGGCTGGTAAAGTAAGGAGTAGTTAAGCAAATTTTATATGTTTGCCATGTGTCCTTAAGTCACCAGGACCGATCAGAGTTTTTTTTTTTTAATTAAACTGGTCATTTGTAATTGTGCTTATCTTTAAACATAAATGTGTGAAAATCAACAGACGTTCAAATATTATGCGACAGGGGTTCGTCACCTCCAGGTTGGCTTCTTTAGCTGTGATCCAGTCTTGCAATTACATTACTACATCATAAACTCTAACATATAATGATTTATCCCAATAACCTTGTTCTGCCCTTTTTCTCATTTACATAACAACAGATGTGCAATTTCACAATAAAAAGCCACTAATAGGATCCACACACTGTCTGGAAAATACAGAGAGGCTAAACATCCTCTCCACAGCTTCTTCAAAGACATTTCATCTTCATCAGCTGCAGAACTACAGAAGATGAAATTTAGACATATTTGTGGGAGGGATATATTCCTGATTTTTTATGTGATGAGCAGACAGTAAAGCCTTTGAAGAGAATGTTTAGCCTCTATATGTTTTGCATATTGTGCAGATCCTATCAGTGACACATCATAAACTCATCATATCACAACCACCAGATTTATGTGCATTAAGCTGAAGGATCACATGGGTATTTTTGCAAGGTTTAGGTTTATGTATTTGTGATAAATACTAATAGTAAAATGTTAAAACAGACCTAAACACTCATGCAAAATCATACACCACAGTCTAATGAGTTGTATGTTTGGAAATCTGACAGTTCCCAGTTTTGCTGCTGATTGTAGACTCAGCAGCACTCAGTGGGATACACTTAACACCAAATCAACTTATGACTCAGATCTATAAATAGTAGAATTGCCCTCTGCCATCTCCACGTGTTATGTCCTTAATAGACTAATATGGACTCTTGGTCAGTTGGCACAGTGTGCTAGACACTTCAGACTAATCCTGTGATGACAATAGGGGATGTACTGTATATGTGTCGAATCAACTTAAACCAGCGGAGGAAGAGTTTAAAAGAATGACACTGGAGATGCTGGAGACAGGGATGACAAGAGAAAAGCTTGCCAGTGAAGTAATGAATTAATTTAGTAAAAAGTCTCAATGTAATTTCATGATCCTATTTTCAAACAGTCCTCACAGCCACACAGGAAGTATTAATTATTTTACATTCATATAAATTGAAATGGAAAAATCCATGTTAAAATGCATTGCTGGAACATTTTCTGACTGCATGAACTATCACAGAGAGTAGTTGAGTATTGTTATATTGTATGTATGAGGTAATAGTGAATTAGATAATGTTCTTGTTCTTTACAAACTAATGACTCAGAAACTAGGCTAAATGACTCCTCTTCAGTCAGATCAGAGACCCAGAACATTAAGGGGACCTGTTTAGTCTCTGTATTTTGGTAGAGAACAGGGTATTATCTACTGTTCTTACTCCTGGAAAAAGGGTGCTTTTATAAATTGCCATCACTGACTTGTAAATTGCTGGGCTACCCAGAAAGCTTACATCCATAAATATTTGCAAATGCAGAAGCAGAAAAAAACTCAAAAATGGAACCTGTCAGTGGGGAAAAACTCATTTTTGTGGAAAAGTAAAAAAAAAAAAAAAAAAAAAAAAAAAGTATTTCTAGCATGCATCATCATCATCATCATCATCATCATCATCATCATCATCATCATCATCATCATAATATTAGAACAGATTTTCCCCCCTTTGTAGTTAAGAATTTTCTTTAGGCTGAAATGCAAATGTTTTAACTCTTTTGGAAAGTACCAAATGTTCAGTTTAACAAGCCAGAAAGTTTGGCCTGGTCTATTTTAGTGTGAACAAGTTCCTGTTATTTTCATTCCACTACACACTTGTATTGTTGCACCCCAAAGAGAAAACTGAAATATTTACAACCGGATCAGAATTTAATACTCAAATCCTTTTTTTTGGCTGTGATAATCTGAGCCTTCAGTGTTTATTTTAATAAAACTGTTTGTTTTCCACGTCTTACTGCTGCCCTTCTCTTCAGAGCTATACCACTGACAGCCAAAAAAGCTGTGTCATAGCAGAGCTCCTACACCAGCAGTGTTAGCTCAGTCTTAAGAATCGATTCATGTGGACATTTAAAAGCTTGTGCCTGTAAACATATATGCACATTTTCATGCCTCAGTGTATTTCGTTTGTTTCACAATTTAAAAAGAATAAGTATATAGAGCACATTAACAAAAATATGCAATATTTGTATCACAATGAGACAGCCACCTGACCTTTGTTGCTTATTGTGCATATCCAGAGCTTTTGTTTTTCATTGACCAAGTTTTACAGACTATCTACTAAAACAACATGGGCGAGTGGAACTATAACAGACAATACTTTTACATGATACTGTGTCAGCTTCTGCATTATAACTCTATCACGAGTATGCACTGTTTGGGACACTGGTATATTTTTATTTTCAAAGCTATTTTAGACAAACTGTCCTCATACTGTTGCAAACTGCTTTCATGAAGCTCATATTTCAGTCAAAATCTAAGGAAACGAGACATATATCTGCTGTCTGTTCCAAGCGTTCAGACAGAGATGGGAAAGAAAGCTTTTATGTTTTGTGCACCAGCCACCTGGAATAGTTAACCTCTGGTAGCATCACTGAACAGGTTTAAACTACTGCAAACTCACTGGTGAATGAATCATTTTCTGCTCATCTTTGTTCCTGGTTTTGATACTGTTTTATAGACACTTTGCTGTTAACCTTTGTAGGTTTTACACATAGTTGTCTGTTTGGGTGTTGTATGTTTTGGCCTTGTGTGGATCATTTTATGCTGCCGTCTTGGCCACAGCAACTTTTAGAAAAGAGGATTTTAACCTGGTAAGACACCGATTAAGTAAAAATACAAACATCTGATCTGCTCTGACTGCAAAACAAATGTACCTACGGGTATAAATAAAGTAACCTAACCAAACAAAAGCATGGTGATCATACTACATATGGCAAACACAGGACAGATAAAAATGACTGGCAAAACTACACAATGCCATTTATGAGTAAAATAAAGCATAAAAAGAGCTGCACAGTTACATTTAAAAACACAGCTTATGAGAAATAACCTTTTTTTTTAATAAAACTCCGAACTTCCATAATTAGACAATTAACAAAACAAGAATAGTGAAAAACAACATTGACAAAGATCCACTGCTGTATTCCATTTTCCAACAAACAAACAAATATCTAATCTGACTGGGACTTTATATGGTTGAAATGTCATATACATCTGACATCAACAGACTTTGATGGACGTTTTTTCCTCCATGTATTAAAAACACATTGAAAAGCTTTTAAGATACATCACAGATCTTCACCTTTAAATTTAAACATGTATAAACTAAACATTTGGACTAATCTGAAGCTCAGACCATGCCCACTGGCCTAAAAACATGATATAAGTTTGCGGAAAACTTTTAGCAAACTGCATCAAAATGAAACTTTTCAGCTTTGGAAACCAAGCATATTGTGTTTTGAAAGTCCATCTCTAAGCCACACTGTCCTCACATACAACAGCATCAAAGGCAGCTCCGTCCACCGT